TTGGTTTTGATTTTATTCCATTCTTGAGTTGCCTCATTACAAGCTTTAGCACGATTAGGGGTACTGTTTCCCGTCTTTATCATAATACTATATATGTATACGTTTGTAAACTCTTGATATTTATTTGCTGGTAAATTATAAATCAGGTTTTTTTTAAACTTTGGAGTTAAAAAATACATTTGTCGCAACACTTTCTTTCCATCCTTGTCAGTGTTTATGCCTTGTTGGTTGCAGAAGCCAAGTTTATTTTGTTCATTTGAATTGCCATCTTTGTTATGTCTGATGGATTTATCACTTTCATTTTGTCCACCAGAATTACTGCCAATTTGTCCAACAGAATTTCCACCGTCAGCAGCTTTCTTTTTGCCTTTGGAAGTTCCTATACTTTTTTCATAGCAGGAACCAAGTTTAAGCTGATTATTCATTTTTATAAAAAAAAAAAGTGATGTGCGAAGTGAACCATATAATAAAGTGTGACTAGTGTCTTGTTTAGCCAATCAAATTGCTAATTTTAGGGGACGTCTAAAGCAGAGGCAACTCCTATTTCTTAATAATTTTCCGATTAACTTTAGAGTTAGGGTCATCTTATATTAGGGTTATGCTAGGTTTTAGGTAGTTATATATAAGCAAAATTGCCTTCCCGACATTTTTACTTAACCTACCTGAGGTATATTAGACTGCCGTTCTTTGTATTTTTTAGGTTTTTCGTTTTTGTTTCTTGTTTTGCTTCGCCGGTGATCATCAAAATTCTATAATTTGATTGGCTGTGGTCACGTGAAATTGCCCCCGCTTTAGTTGGCTCTTTTTCTTATATTACCTTGGGGTGGGGGGGTAGGTGTCTATAGTAAATTGATATTACGTAATATATGTCATAGCCCTTAATTGATATATAAAAATGGATTTTTTGATTTTGCGTTACACGGATTTGCAATTATTGTTTATATATAAGCGTGATATACAAGTGTATCGCATAGTGCGATGTATATTTATCCTTAAAATAAATAAAATTTATGAATAAGTATAGTACGTATATATCTATGTAGTTCTACATTAGGCATTAAAGTTATATGTACAATTAGCGATCATTAAAACACTAATTATTTTGTTAACTTATGAATTGACGGAATTCAGTACGTACGATTGATAAGTAACTAGATATATTTGCAACTTTATAATTTTGTTTTCTAGACAAAGTGATTTTATTGTAATAAGATAAAAAAAATATATATATAAATATCCTAAGTGGGAATGGGTTGATTCTGAAATTTTAAGTATAGAATTAGGATTTTTAATATAACTATTCTGCCCATTCTACTTGCAACATATCAATTAGATAAAATCTTTTCTTATTCGCTTTTTTTGACATAGCTTATACTTCGCTTTCACACGTATTGTTATATCTTGATTAAATGGCGCAACATTTGTTTATTTCGTCTGATTCCAATTATGATATTGATATCAAACGAGAAGATTTAAGTGATTTAGTATTGATTGACAGTGGGGATTTGGAACTGTCTATAAGGGAACATTGAATAAAGGGAAGGAGAATGAACAAGAAGTAGCGATAAAATATATTATTCGTAAAAATACGCCGCAAGCGAAAAAAGATTTTGATCGAGAGGTTAGTTAAGATAATATATACAAGAGAGAAGCAATAAATAAATTAACTTTCTAATATATTTTAGATATATGCCTTAAAAATGTCCGTAAAATGCAAAGAATATATTATTCAATTTTTTGGTTTATCTCAAGGTAAATTTCACTAAAATGGTTCTAGGTAAATTGTTCACGACCTGTACGTACGTATGCACAGTTAATGGGAAAAAGAAATTTTGAATATGATTTACTTATTATTATAGATGCTGGTGAAACCGGTGAAACTCTTGGTGAAATTAATATAGCATCCAATCAGATTTTAGATAGTCACCAGTTTCACTAGCATCTATTATTATGCTAGCAGGAATTCGTCTTATATATTTAATTAGATACTAGCATTAGAGCCAGTCATCATACGACGAACTATAAGATATGGAATAAACGCTATAAATGTTATACGAATATTGCAGAGACCGTTATCTTAGAAATTTTTGGTGAATCAAGTTACTTTAAACAATAGGCAGTGGCGCAGTAAATGGCCACCGTATATTATATGTCGTTTCAGCCCTGCTTTAAATATGTTTACATATTACTGTAATTTCATAAGGAATATATGTTTATTCAACCAACTGTGCACATGTCATTAACTTATGTAAATTAGGTACTTATTATCGTTATTTCCAAATGCAGAAAACTGGCAATATATTTTTGTAATGCAATACGCGAATAATGGAAATTTACAAAGTCATCTTATACATAACAAACTTAATCTGACATTGGATGAAAAGATTTCTTTCAATAAGGCTATCCTCAAAGGACTAGGATTTTTGCATAATAACGATATACTACACAGAGATTTGGTAATTATATAATTTTTTTTTTATGCCTTAAGTTCAAATCTTAGTTATAAATGCTAATACTAATCGCTATATTATACAATTTTTATTAATTTCATAGCATTCAAAAAATATTCTTATTCACAATGGCAAGGCACTTTTAGGTGACTTTGGTCTATCAAAGTATCTTTTTGAACAAAATGATAAACACATATCAGAAGTTCGAGGAGTTCAAGCTTATGTTGACCCCAAATTGCTAGATAAAGAATCAAATCCAAATTATACGCATACAAAAGGGTCAGATATTTACAGCTATGGTGTACTCATGTGGGAGATATACGCTTGTCGCCCGCCATTTCAAGGTAGAAGTGGTGATAACTTGACTACGGCTATTTGCCTAGGAGAAAGAGAAAAGCCTGAAAATGGAATGCCTTTAGATTATATAGAAATTTATGAAAATTGTTGGCATCAAGATCCTTCGTTTAGACCTGGAATTTCTGAGATATTGAAAAATCTCGAAACTCTTAATCAAAGTTCAACTTATCAGGACGGTGGTGATATTTTAACAGGTTAGTGAATATTATGAATAGCTGATGCAACTTTTTAACTTGTATAATATGTTTATTATACATTTATTACAGAATTGTCTACCAATGATGAACATCTTAGCCAAACAATTACAGAATTATCCGATATTGATGAACCTAGTGAAAAAATTACTGACGAGTCTGTACAAAATTATATTGAAGATGACTGTAATGATTGTCAAATTACAAATCCAACAACAGTAACCTTGGAACGATCTGTCAATTTTGATACGTTTTCACAACCTATTAAAGAAGCCTATGAACTTTTCGAAGAAATCAAGTTATCAAACAAAAATGCGCAGCTTAACACAAGAATTTGTGGAGTATTAGTTGAATATATTAATTTAGCTAAATGTAATTTGGAAAATCTTCAAGACAACAAAAGTTACCATGCTGCTTTCGCAACATTAGACAATTATAAACTCTTTCAGATATTTCTCCAAAACATTAGAAAAATCAATAGCTTTATTAAAAAGATTTTTAATATTAGAGGATTAAGGAATTATATTCAAAAGACTAATTCTGGACTCTCATTAAGATCAATAAAAGTTGAATTTGAGCGATTATTTGATGAATTTAATAAATCAATGTTATCTATCAAGTTTAAAACTTATCCCAATGACCAAGTTAACAATTTACTTAATGATGATATCGAAGAGACAACAAAAGTATTTATTTTTGATATTGCCAATTTTGTCAATTTCATTATTAAATATGTAATTTTAAAGTTAAATTAATACTGTATTTTCTAGATTATTTATGCTCTTCAATGCAACTTCAAAAATGATCATAAAGCTATGTTTAAAGCTATTGAAAGGACAAGTACACGACTTGCCACTAAACCGAAACTCTCTACTGTTGAGCTTCTTAATTATTCAATTCAAAAAGTGGACGGTCTTGACACTTCGAGGTTAAAATACAACACAGATTTACGTATGCATGTGGCACTTTTAAAAAATTTAGAAGACTTCACAAACGTTAACATTATTAAGTTTTATGGGATATTACAAGATGAATCATCCTCTGGCTCAATATATTTAATTATAGAAAAAGCAGATCATGGTAGCTTAAAAGAATATTACACCAAATACAAACCTTTAGATTTTTTAACCAAATCAAAATTTGCATTAGAAATATGTACTGGATTAGTCTTTTTAAATGCTGTAAATTTTTTACATCATGATATCAGATCTGAAAATATTCTGATTACAAATGGCCTTACTGCTAAGATTGCAAACTTTAAACATAGCCGATCAAATTCAGATAATTCAGGTAATCTTGGAACTGATAAAGCCAGAATTAAAAGCATGGCTCCAGAAATGTTAAAACGCAAACATTCCACAAAATGCAAGTATGGTTTTAAAAGTGAAATTTATAGGTATGTGGTTTATAAATGCAATATAAATCCGGTCAGATTTTTAAAGAATTTTAATATTTTTTTTCTAAATTTAATTATTTATTTACTTACAAAATAATTAGTTTTGGAATTGTTCTCTGGGAAATTTTAAATGAGAAAAATCCATATGATGGTTATAATGATATCTATGCAATAAGTGATGCAATCCTTAATAATAAACAAATATTACATAATTATAGTAATTTTAATGATTGCATACCACAGAAATATACATATATTATGATGCAAGGTAAATAATAAATCTATTTTTTTAGCAAAAGAAAGTATACATCATATTAAAAATTTATTTTCTTTTCCATTAGCTCTTAAATTCGAGCCAAACAACCGTCCAACTATCTGTGACATGTTTAGAGTTTTATTTGATATAGTAAATAATCCAGAAAACTCTTCCACATTATGTGTGGAATCTTTTAAAGAAAACATTTCTCAGCATAATTTTTTATCTATAGAAGATGCAGCAAACGAAGCAAGAAAAAAAGGTGGAAATAAGCAGAAAGCACTAGAATATATTGACAAATTTGCTGAAATAAATGATTTTAAAGCCATTTATTATAAAGGTTATTTTATGCAACAAAAACTTTTTAGCAAGCATAAATTGTCTAAATCTGAATACAAAAGAATTCAAAAAGAAGTTGCCCGTCTTTTTGAGCTCGCTTCAGATGCAAATATTACGGACGCACATACCAAATATGGAGATTGTCTTTTTAATGGTTATGGAGTCCAGAAAAACCAAGCACGTGCCATAGAACTTTATACAAAGGCTGCTAATGATGGTAATGGTAATGTAAAGTCTTACGCACAGTTTTGTTTAGGAACTATATATTACAAAGGTTTGGCAGGGACAGAAGACAAAGAAGAAGGAGTGCATTATTTAAGGCTTGCTGCTTTGGGAAATTATCAAAGTGCTATTGAAGCCTGTAAAAATTATAAAATTAGCTATTAGCTATTAGCAATTAACATAGAAATGAAGCAGATTATTGAATTATGAAGACACCCAAATTACACTTCCTTGAACAATGATTTTTTTTGCAAATCTCTTTACGCAGTTGTGTGACGTGATAGGAGTTGAAGAATATCCTGGCCGTGATAAAAACGAGGTGTTAGTCATGTGGCTTAATACTCTGTCCAACGCAACCGGTTCTGCATTAAAGCATTAAAGCCTACGATTTTCGGGTCATTAATTCTGGATAAAAGTCGAAATTGACGTTGCGAAAAAGAGGAAAATTCTTGCTGTTAAAGAATAGTTACGCTAGTCCTACCGGGTAGTTAATGACTTCACTAGTAAAATTTCGATTTTCTGACCCAGGGCTTCTTATATGAATTTACCAAGTTATCATTACTAAGAACTAGTTCAATTAAGATATCTACGGCATATTTAAAAATTCGGATCTTTTTTTTCAAACCTCTACTGATATTATATTGTTACACTGAATAATTCCAAAACTGTCATGAAATAGTCTTGTTATTTTATTTTGTTATCCTGTAATTAGAATCATTAAGAAATTTGTATTAGATTCTATATTGTAGAAAACAAAATTAGAAATTTAGTATGCATAAAAAATAAATGTTCATCTATATGCGTTGAAATATTGAACTATTAGTAAAAGGGAAATTCTATTTTGACTCGGATCAAAATGACCCCTCCTAGAATTTAGGATTAGTGCGAGCCAGAATTATGTTAATGCCGGCCAGATTTTTATATTAAAAAACCCTGGCCAACATCAACATAATTCTGGCCCGCACTAACCCTAAAATTTTGCTGAGGGTCATTTTAACCTGGTCAAAATAGAATTCCCATTAGTTTAAATTTACTTTCAATTTATAATAATTATAATACCAATTTTTTTGGACATTAATTAATTGACTATATCGATATAAATGACTAAACGTAAACGTTATATAATTATTTTATCAAAAAGAACTGATTTCATTTTTCGTACAGTAGATTAAATCAGGTTTAATTGATTTTTTCACAACTAATCCCATACTTTGTCATCAAGAAAATATTTATACAAGTCACTCTCGTTATAGTGAAGTGATCCGTTCCATAGTAAAAATTTTTAAAAAGTATTTTTATATAAACTGGTTTGGGATTTATCTTCACTATACTTAGTGTTGGCAAATAGAACAATAGAACAAAAGCTCAATTTTTTGTCTTTATATATTTAAACATATACTGCTAGAGCATTAGTAAAGTAATAAATTTAAAATATTTTTATATTTAATTAGTAAAATCTAATACTCAAAATTTACAATAGAAAAATAAAAAAAAAATGAATAGAATTAGAAGCCAATCGAAAAAACATATAAACGTGACAACCCTGACTATACTATAACGAGAGTTCACTATAACGAGAATGACTTGTATTCCACGGCTTCTAATGTTCGTCCGTAAACATTTCTGAAAATATCTTTAAATTATTAAATAGAAAAGAAATGTTTATTTAAAACCTATCTCTTAAAGAGTTTATTAAAAATTTAAGGATTTGGCCGTGATAAAATATAACATCATCTAGACAAAGCCCTTGTTTTTACATAACGAAAGCATAAAAATGCCGAAAAACTATAAAATCCTAAATCAAACTATTATTGCAAAACCATGTCACGCCTCTGTCGAATTGCAATTGGAAAATGTGTACCAAGTTGGTGGCGCAGACAAAATCTTAAAATTCGTTAAGGTTAGAGTTAGGGTTAAGAGCTAGAAAGGAGTAGTTTTAATAATAAAATTGTTCAACGAAAAACTTTTTGTTAGAGCACAAAAGGTGGTTTCTTATTCTGATTTTTGAGTTATGGGCGATTTTTGGCAGAACGAACGTTTGTTTTAAATCTTCTTGATTGTGTTACGTTACACCTAATCTTGAAAGCTGATTCGTAGATCAGAAGAACTACGTCACCAACCTGGTACACATTTTCCGATTGCTTTTCAATCTATAAATTACGTCATCGTTCACCTCCGAAAATAAGCACCCTACCAACTTTAACCAATTTTACAAATTTTACAATAATTGCAATGCAAAAAAGAGATACATATTTTCTGAGAAATATAGAACTTACTTTTACTGTCTTTAATAAAAATATTATGCATGATTTAAAATTTTATTAATTAATAAAATCTTAAATTTTTAACAATCAAGTAAAAAGATTTACTTAGTGCATAATAATTTAGTGTTGCAAAACCAGTTTACAAGTATTATGGAGTCGATATACATCACTCTTTCTTTGCAAAACGTAAAAAATCTACATCTATATCTACCGACTTTTTTTTGTGAAATTTATACATCATAGGCACATCAAACTGAAATGAAATAACAAATCATATTATGTAAAAAACGAAATGTAAAAAATGAAATCTTAAAAATACGCATTCAGGATAAACTAACCTTTATTTCAGCAAGGACTTCACATTCGACATTCCAGTCTTGAGCTTTTTTGAGAATGTACTAAATGTGCGACGGGAAAAAAAAAAATCTTTAATTTCAATTTCATTTGAACAAAAGTGAAATATTAGATAAATTACCTCTCGTGTAGAACTTTTGTGTAAAGAATATACCGAAGTTGCTGCAACCTAAAAATTTACCTATTAGATATTATTTGATAAATTCTGGAATCACATGCGCTCCATTAATGTTAAACCTCAAGAGCCTTTTTTAGAAATATCATGTCTATGCCTTTGTTGTTTTTCGTTCCAAACGGAGGATTCATAACAACAGTGTCTACATTATTTTTCCACCGACATAATGGGTCTAACGTGAGATCGGTAAGTATAAAATCCACATTAACATTATCATTTGAACAGTTTTTCTGCGCAATACAAAGAGCTGATGAATCGATATCTAGTGCTAAATTATAGCTGAACCGAAACAAATTAATGAGATTAGGAACGAAGTTTATTAATGCAAAATTCAAAAGGTTCTTACCCGGATTCGAGAAAACTGGACGCGATACTACACTTTTTTTATGAGAAGGTAATACTTATCAGGGATCTTTTTTTTTTTTTTTTTGTGGAAATAAAATAAAACCTGCGTTCATTTAAGTCCTTACCTCAAAATGCCGCACCCACAGCCAAAATCTGCAACAGTCTTGCCTTCAATGTCGTCGTAATTGGAATGTGCGGTGAAAATCATACGTGCAGCGAGATGTGGTGTTGTACAATACTGTTCTAATTTAATTTTTGGACTATCTGTGTTTATCAAAAGCGAAATAAGTACTATAAGTTTTTATTACAAAGTGTATCTAATCTGTGTATGCTCACCAAATACGGCAACATCTTGAAGAGAACTTTCCAACTCTTTGAGACGCATCGCAATCAATATTTTAGAATCGAAGTCGATTATCGATCATCTTCATAGAAGGACATTCATATGATTGGCTAATTTACGTTGATACAGAAATTTCTGCACGTGAATGTTTAAAAGTACACACGACGACTTATCGTTATATAATGACTTTCCCATTTCTTTACACTTAGTGGCTAAAAGTAAAGACTGTATTATTTCATCAAAATTATTTTATTAATAGCGGAAATCATTGGAAACACGGTCTCTAAGAAAGTGTATATACAATTTTTAATTCCATACATATGTATGTATATATATATATATATAAGAGACAAGCGTTATGTATAGGAACTCTCGTACGTTGACTTCAAGAGCAACTCGACAAATTGCGAGCAGAAGAGAAAAGTTTAAGAAGTCGATTACAGTAAGTTCCTTTAATTAAGGTTTAATATGATCTAACTTGAACTAATCTCGATCTTTGATTATGATTTATGGGAAGAAGCGTGGATATTCAAAAAGCTTTGGATAATTATCGTTTTATACACGAATATAATGTAATCAAAGATTTTGTTAAATGTTGTTCGGAAAGATAATGATGAAGACATTAAACCATTTAAATCTATATTTTCACACGCATATGCATATATTTTTACTGTACATGTGCTAAACTCGATGGTACAACAAAAGAAATGTATGAGCGGTTTGGATTAGAACTCGACGATTGAAAATCGGGGCATATCGATTGATATTATCAGTATTTACTTGTAGATTTCTAGCATACACTTAAAACTTTATATATTGCAATACTAACCTTGGATGATTATATATAAAGGTGTCACTTAAAATATTATAATAAAAATATTGATTTTTCAAAAAAAAAAACTTCAAATTTAATACCAGTGGTTACGTAATTGCCCACTTCTTGGTTTCTTGTAAAATGGTTCATCGAATTGTGTGTGCGTTATGTAAATCTATAATCGAAAATTGTCTTATCATGTTAACATATCATGATCATGATCTTATATAATATACAGCAAGTTAAATTCGATTCGCTGGGGGAAATCAAATTAAACATATTAATTTCAAAACCGTTAGTCGTTCTATGATATACGCATAGTTATAGCGGGTTTGGTACGAAATCCTGATGCACGCAATTCTGATGATGTATAATCTTGACTAATCCCCCGATCACTATATCAAGATCACGGGAGGATTATTATTACTAACAACCCGGGCAGTTATTACAATAATTTAAAGTTTATATTGATATCTTTTACGATTTAAAAAACTATTTTAACGGCTAAGAAAAATTTTTATATTTAGTAAACTTAAAAATTAAATCATTATAGAGAATCTTTAAATATGAATAGTTTGTTGAGTTGCTTGCGAAATGGATAAAGAAATAGGGATCGAGATCGAGTAAAGAATTGGCCAGGTCTTCATAATTTTTATCAACATTTCGTTGACATGTTCATTGTCGATTTTGTTATTATCGTAATTGTTATTGTCACCCGTTGCTTTTCGGTTTCATTACTATTTTTTCGGTTTTTCAATTTCTATAAATTGAATAAAAATCGAGAACTTTTATAAAAGAATGGATGTTTTTTTTTCTTAGTATCAATATGTTTAAAAGAAAAAAAGATATTTGAATTCTTAATGTAATATCATTTTACGTAAATTTTTAATTACGTACGAGCTAATAACGTGAGAGGTCAGGGTATTAATAATAATATCTTTGGGTCGTTGGGTATTAGTGGATTGATCGCGTAAGCGGCCAATCAGTATCAATCATGTATTTCTGCTATCACTGCCTGGGATCAATCCACTAACACCCAACGACCCAAGATACATATTAGTGAAGCTTCTACTCTTCATTTTATTTTGAATAATAATAATTATAATTTTTAATATATT